TGGAAGGTTTTGCTACATACAAAGTATCCATGTGCAGAGCGCATTAGGTTGCCACATATTACTGACAGAGAACTTTCCCAGTGAATTTTCCCAGTGATTATGCATTACATCATTGTTCTAGCAATTATGCAGACACATCATTATTGCAGTTATGCAGACAAATCATTATTCTAATAATTGTTCAATTTACTATATTACCGTGACCCCAACCGGTCGTAAGTCGAGGACTAAACCGGTTGTAAGTCGAGGACTAAACCGGTCGTAAGTCGAGGACTAAACCGGTCATAAGCCGAGGACTACCCAACCGATCGTAAGTCAAGGACTTTCCCTGGCTGGGAATGCCGCGCATGCATGGTTCTGCCCCCTGCGCTGGCCGAGGCGTAGCTGGCAAGCGGCAGAGACGGAGCAGGCCGACCACCAGCTGGCCCAGCCCAAGGGAGGTAAGGCACCCGCCAGAAAAGGGGGGAAAAATGGCAGACAAAAAAAATGGCGGACAGCCTTGCTTGGCGACCCCCATGAAATGGTCGATCGACCCCAAATGGGGTCCCGACCCACAGGTTGAGAACCACTGGTTTACGGAATCACAACAGGGTTCTGGATTTCAAAACTGACACTGAAGACAGGTTGCTTCCAAGCTGCTTTGGGGGCCAAATATAACTTAAAGTACTTATCATCATTAAAATCAATTAATGATCAGGACTGTTTAGCTGCCAAGGTAGTTAAAAAACTATAGTATGAGACTGCCTGCTTTTTTATTGAAGGGGAGAAGACACTGTCTCCTGGAGAAGGGACGGATCCTACAAGCTCCTAAATACTGTGTTGTAGAAGCAGTTCACTTTCCAGGGTGCTTCATATTCTGAACTACCAGTGATAAAAATGTGCCACAGGTTAATTTAGCATTGGCTGGAAGTCTTTTAATAATACCTTTTCTAATATTATTGGCTGCCAGTGATTGCAAAGAAAAGTGAAACGGAATCCCAAAACTGAGTGGGTGTTACCCCCCCCCCCCAGTTTTTTCCATTAATTTATTTAGTCTTTAAACATTTCTGTGGTTTGAGATAGTTTTACATACATTAAGCTTATTGGAAGATTTAATGCACCTGATCTTGTTTGCACAATTGGTGTTATATTATGCCATGACTGTATAGTGGTTTGTCACTGGATTTTGACAGTGGGGGATTCCAAGGGGCCCAGGAACCACATATTAATCTACTAATTTAAACTTTCAAAGTACAATAACAAAACACTTTTCAATATAAATCTGAAGTTAATGTCTAAAAATGTAGGACAAATGCAAGGGAGGAGGGTTGTACCTAGGAAATCCAATAACTGAGGATTATCTCTCCAATATTAATACAATTTGGCTTCATAAAATGTAGCATATTCCCATCCTCTGCCCATTGATTCATTATCCTTATGGGGTGTAAAGATTTCATGAAAAGTAGTTAAATACTACACAATAGCAGATACCCGTGAGGCTACACATTGTATATTCTGCAAACAGTCAGAAATAAAGATCTTAATAGCCTTTGAAACTACATATATAGTTCCAAAAACTAGGACATAACTTTATGGTGATCCATGAGATGCCAAATAAGCAAGGCAATGTATATAATTCTGAGATTCTGAGAGTGACAAATAGCAGCTCTAGAAGCTTTCTAAGGTCTAAAACCAGAATTATACTAGGATAAGCTGCAGTCATCATCACAGACTCTCCTTGAAGACCACCCAGAGTGTTCAGCTGGGGTAAAATACAAGAGGTTATCTACTGACATGACACTGCATTAGCTACTGGTGTGTTTCGAGGGACTGTTATGTCTGTGGAGATTCTCAATCATCCAGGTCATGACTGTTCTAGAGATGCTTTTCCAAAAACATTTTCCTTGAAAATGTTTCTCTTCTCATCCAAAACATCTGAAGAAACTTCTTGGATGATAAGCGAAACATTTTCAAGGAAAAAAAACCCAGGAAAGTCCAGTTGCCCTTTAGAAAAGCATCTTTGGAACTGGCTATTATCTATCAATCCTTAGAAAGCTCAGAGCTGGGTGTCTTAGTGATCGCCTTTCCCAAGTACATTCTGTCTACCAGATTCAGATAAGGGGAGAGTTTCTGCTGAGAGTTTCACAGCTATTCAGAGAAGAACAGGAGCCCTTCTTAGTAGCTGCTCATCTCTGTCATATGGCTTTCTGGATCTAAATTCAGGCTTAATTTTTCTAATTAAGCTGCTGGAGGAATATCTTTGCCATTCCTGTTATTGATTGAGTGATGTATTGTTACTCTGCACCGCATTCTGATTATGAACATTTCTTAGAACTTCTGGAATAGGGAGGTCTTTAAACCTTGTAAATAATGAATGGGAACATACGAAATAACAATAAATGAGGTCATAATCTTGCACTTTACGTGGTGCACATTCCCTGCCAAAGAGAAAGGGAAGAACAAACAGCATCAATTTTCCTTCTTCTCCCTTAGTTTTTAGGCCAAGCTTTTCCTTGTTGCCCATTGCAGCTTGGAGAGAATTGAATTGGCTCAACTGTTGAAGTAAAAGTACAGTGTGAGATCACAGGATGTGAAACCAATCCAGGAGCAGCTCAAACTTCTTGCATGAAAAAGCTCTTTCTCTCACACCATCAGTTCCTTGAGATTTTTATTATTTATTTGTTTGATTGAGATCTTTAGCCATCTCAGCAAATAACTCTGGTGGCAGAGATTAATTGGCAGATCTGATTATCCCCCATAATTCAAGCTACTCTTAAGGCTTCCTCACTCTCTCCTCTTTTTTGTATGGTTCCCCAAATAAAACAAAATTAAATTCAGATTCACCTTGTTATCCTTCCCTTATCTTTTCATCCCCCTAAGCCATTCTGCTCAAAACTTTTGGAAGTATGTGATTTCAGCTCCCATAATTCCCAGCTAGCATCATATCTGGAGTATACCAGGTAAAAAGCCTGACAAAATATTTTATGTGGTACCAGCCAGACATTTTTCCTGCCATTCTCAAATTTCAATTCAAAATAGAATTTTAAGGCAGCTTTGTCAATCCATTGAAAAAAATCCCAAACCCATCATTGGATAGCATCCATATTATGACTAGCTTCAGTAGACAAAAGGGATGTGTAAACTTTCATGTTCCCTTTGTGCTAAAGTAATGCCCTGAAATACTTCCCCCCCCTTTCTTTTCCATAAGTTGCTTTTGAAAGTAGCACAACAGTCACTTTGTCAATGGAGATTCTCAGTCATCCACATCATGGTTGTTCCAAAGGTGCTTTTTCAAAAGGCAACTGGACTTTGTTTTTCCTTGTTTTCCTTCCTTTCCAAGGAAAAACAAAGTCCAATTGCCTTTTGAAAAAGCACCTTTGGGACAACACTCACTTTGAATGCCTGATAGGCAGAAATAAGTTATAACAACATTTTTTTTGAAACTACCAGCAATGTACGCTGAAAAAAATCATAACATGAAAAATAAAGTGTATGTCATATTTGGGGAAGTGCTGGAAAAAAAAGTCTAAAGGTTAAGGTTTCATGTTTTGATGAAAAGTTTCCCACTCCCCCAAACCCAGGACTTTTCTGAACCTTGAAATAAATGCATTTATTCTGCTTTCTGAAATCTATGTTGCATGTATGGTCCTGGATTCCAGCCTGTAGACATACAGAATAGAAAAGTGTGGAGTACATTCTCCATACTGAGTAGTTTTGCATAAAACAATCAAGACATTTGATGCAAGCATTCATTTTGCTCTTTCCTTTTGGGAATCATGAATTTTCAATCCAGTGAAAGTAAACCAAAATCCAGAAATGGTGATGGAGATGAAATAATAGAAATTTAAACACAGCCAAATAAACATAGTGGATTTCAGAAAGAACAGTTACAGAATCTCAGGCTAGTGCCTGAGATAAGAATTTGCATAATTCCTACAAGTATCTTGTCAGTCAATCCAAGGGCATTTAACTTGTTGACTTATTTTAAACCTGGTCTTAAAGGAAACTACGTATTTCACTCTTCCCCTGCACTTCATCTGGAAGTGTTTGAAAGAACAGTAGCTGCCTCAGTTCCATGAAGAAATTGAGTTCTCCTTTGAAAAAAAAGAGGTGAATAAGGCGGCATGTACTTTGTTTATATCCCACATACATGTGAAATATGTGAACCTGTCACTGAGGAGAATGTCAAGTGGAGTGGAAAACCCCAAGCAATGGAAAAAAAAAGATATCTTCCCATGTTTACATTCAAGAAGCATATGCCATGTACAAAGTAATTGGTGTCAGTGGGAATCAAGCTTGAGATTTAGAAATCAGAAAATATTCAAATGGTAATGCTAATAGGGAAAAAGCAGGGCTTTAAGAATTATTTTCTTCACTTTTTAGGCTGCCTGTTATACACTTTGCTTGTTATTCCCAGAGCTTCTGCTGATAAAGATGACTGGGCGTAAGCAAGCCACTGAATTCATCTCACAGCTATGAATTTCTCTCATATTTTATCTCCCACATTCTGTTCATTTACATTTTCCCATATGGTGACTTTGGAAAATTCCTTCCTGCATAAAAAAGGACAGGAAATTCTCTTTGGAGAGAAGTTGCTCTCTTTCTCTCCCTCCCCCCCCTCTCTCTCCCCCCTTCCTTTCTAGTTGCGCTGATCACATCTGGAAAGGCTCTGATTCGGGAAAAGGGGAAAGTGTTCGGCACTCGGCGTGTATAATTGCCATGGCATGAGCAAACGGAGCCTTTGGTGGGGGGGACCAGAGAGAATTTTTTTTTTCCAGATACTTCCATCACTGTCCACAAAGTTGAGGTGAGTTTATTTCTGAAGTTTAACTTTGTAGTTGCCTGGTTGTTGTGGATGGTAAATGGCAGGGGCTCTTTGGAAAGTCATTCTGAACACCCAAAGCTGCATAACCTGATAATGCCGAGCAAGTAATGCAGGAAACAATAAGGGGGAAAACAGAGGCCTGAAGGCACCGGAGTCATTGACTGTTTATTTTCTGTGCATGTCCAATTGCTTCTCCCACTCCCAGGAGATAACTTTCAAACAATTCCTTGCATATCCAAGCACTCTAGAGACATCGTTCCTAGCTGCATTCATACAGTTATTCTGTTATTTGATTAGTGGAAGTTCTGTTTTAGATCCTGAAAAAAAAACCCTTCCAAAAAGTTGTACCCGTCAAATTAGTAACTTTATACTGTGCTTGGTTGAGTGTCAAAGGATCTTAGCCAACCCTTGGTGAGGTCTTGGCCGAGGGTTGAAGTGAAGACAAGCTTTGAACAAGGCACTTTATATAAACCTGGGTTTTTAAAAAGCATTTTTAAAAAGATTTTTTTTTTCAACTCAAAAAGGAATTGGAATAACTCGCCTGCTTTTATTACCTTCTTTGTGAAACCTAGCAAATGTTTCTTTATCCCAAGCATGTCCCAGGGGTATCTGAGTTGCTGTTGCTTCAGAGGAGGGAAAGATTGATGCCAAAAGCATGAGGATCTTGCAGAGCCTGGAGGCATGCTCTTAAAGAAGTAGCTCTTATTTTGTTATGTTTTAAAAATCTAGGTAACCTATCATTTCAGTATTGCATCCATTTATATTGATGTGTGTGTATATGTATGTGTGTGTGTATTTAGAATGTCCACTTGTTTTTCCATTTTTTGTGTTAAAATGTTTTGCCATTATAGAAGACTGCACCTATTTATGAAAAATAGCTAGCAGCAATCCCCAATACACTGTAATGTTTCCTTGGTTTCAGTGGAAATGTACCTGAACTTCCTATTCCTGTTTCCGGTGCTGTGGCTATTGGTACTTAACTCCAGCAGGATTCAAGGCCAGAAAAACAAAAACAGCAACGAGTTCCCAGAAAATTTTCCTGAGCTACTCAATCATCAAGATACTTCCTTGGCTCCAGATTGTCCTAAAAAATGCACCTGCACCTCAGAAGGAATTGTGGATTGTGGTGGATTTTCACTGAAGGAATTTCCCATGGATGTCCCAGAAATGACAAGCCACCTTTCCTTACAGGTATGGGAGCACTAAACAAGGACTGACAACTCTTTGATGAGGCAAACCTCCAAGTCATCTATAACATTTGTTCACTGCAAAGCTTATAACTGAGTTTTCAAAACTGATTAGTGGGAAAGAGGTAAAGTTAGTCTTTGTTTAGTGACCACAACTGGGTCATTCATGACCTCATTAGAGATAGTCCTTGTTTAGTGACCATAATTGGTCGCTAAGGGAAATCATGACTATGCTTATGATCGTACTTCAGCTTTTGTTTGCTTTATCTTCCAAAGGTCGTAAATGCAAGGATTGATCGCAAAGTTACTTTTCCATCACTGTCATAACTGGGAATGGTTGCTAGACAAGGCAGTTGCTAAAGAGGACTAGCTGTAATTAAAGTCTATTTAACCTGGCAAAGTGCACTTTGATCTAAGATACTTGTTGCTTTTGTATCATTTGCACAAAAAGTGGAAGGGTGGAAGAGCACTTGCCCAATCCTGAGGAAAATTTCAGAGTTAGTAAACTGCAAATTGGTGATAAATTTCACTCACACCTGCTCTAAATCATATTTTTTTGCCTTCCTATCCAAAGTGCTACAAATCACTAGGAATAATAACAGTAACAACATAATGAATAACTATGCCTAAGCTTTTGAGTGGATTCAGAGGAATTCTTTCAGTCCTGGCCCTATTTTAATAGGCCTATTGCAGACACAGCCAAAATTGAACAGATGTCCTTGACTTACAGCCACAATGAACCCCAAATTTCCCTGGTTAAGCAAAGCAGTTGTTAAGCAAGTTTTGCCCCATTTTGTGACCCCTTTTTGCCATAATTGTTAAGAAAATCACTGCAGTTGTTAAGTGAACCATATGATCATGAAGTGAATCTGACGTCTCCAATTTATTGACTTTGCTTGTCGGAAGTTGGCTAGGAAGTTTACAGATGACGATCACATGACCCCAGGACAGTGCAATTGTCATAAATATGGTATAATCCCAGTGACCAAGCATCCAAATTTTGATCATGTAACTATGGGGATGCTGCAACGGTTGTAAGTGTGAAAACTGGTCATGTCACTTTTTTCAGTTCCATTGTAACGTTGAACAGTCACTAAACGAATTGTTGTAATTTGAAGACTATATTGCTGTATGAGCACATTCAAGGGTGGTCTCCTTGCCACTCAGGCAATCCTGTTGTTTCAAAAAAACTTCTCCAATGAAGTTAACTAGGGATCAAATGCTTTCAGCTAATATCTTTTATTTTTAATGCATCTTTTCTTTTAGAACAACCAGATAGAAAAAATCATTCCAGAACAGCTTGCACGTCTCCCTTGGCTAGAAACATTGAATTTACAAAACAACAGACTCACATCCAAAGGTAAGGTGGAAAATCCAAAATAGCTTAAAAGTAAATATGATAGCCAGCAAAGACAATATTACAGAAAAAACTGGCCATATGTCATATCCTAGCCCTGTTTTTTTTCCCTGGCAAATGGATGCACTTCCTAAATCTGAAGGACTTATTTGTGTATCAGAAAAAAAAGGAAATGGGGGATAAAAAAACAACAACGCCACTCTTGGCACAAAATTAGCAAAAGAATCATTTCTGTATAGATGCAAAACTGGAAGAAAATACACTTTAAATAAAAAATATCTCATCAGCATTATGAAGACAGTATCTAACATTCTCAGTCTATTGCTCCAATGTACCTAATTGTGAGGCAGACAACTTAAAAAATTCCTCTCAAAGACTTTGATCTTTAATTTAGATTGCCTTTAAATGGATGATAATCCTCTGTTCCTATTTTGTAATACACCGGCACCAGCAGTAACCAATATTATAACACGCATAAAATATTTTAGGAGGTAAAATTGCACTGGTTACAATCAGTGAGATACTAATTGTCAAAATACTGTATCCATATTCTTTTAAGGGCTTCCAGAGAATACATTTGACCAGCTGGAGAATCTGAATTACCTGTACCTTGCAAATAACCAGGTTAGCAAATGTTTCAAAAGTTGCTATTTCTCCCAACTTGATGTCCTCCACTATGCAGCCCGGTGATTCCCATATTCCCCAGCCAGAATAAAAGGAAGTAAACTGGGATATAGTCCTTTGGCAGGTACAACTTTGTGGCTTTGAAGTTTGAGGAATTAAGAGAAGCTACGACAGTAGTTAGATTAGAGCTAGGCAACAGTGGCAACATAACATGAAAATTATTAATATGAAGAGATTTATCAGTAAAAAATGTAAGTACATTTCCCTATAGGAACCATACCAGTTGCAGATTTTTCTTCAAACAATTCTCTAAATTCATGAGGCTACAATAATTTCTCCTATTAAAGTCTTGACTTTTCTTTAAATTTACCGTATGTGACATTGAGATTAAATTTATATTACCTTTCAGAGGAAAAGTCATTGTATTTAATATCATTCCTCCTGTATTTGAGGATCTTCGTGTATATGTTATATATATAAAATGAATTAGAACATTAGAAAATTAGAAAATGGTTAGATCAGTGGTTCTCAACCTGTGGGTCGGGACCCCATTTGGGGTCGATCGACCATTTCATGGGGGTCGCCAAGCAAGGCTGTCCGCCATTTTTTTGTCCGCCATTTTTTTGTCCGCCATTTTTTCCCCTTTTCCGGTGGGTGCCTTACCTCCCTTGGGCTGGGCCAGCTGGTGGTCGGCCTGCTCCGTCTCTGCCGCTTGCCAGCTATGCCTCGGCTGGCACAGGGGGCGGAACCATGCATGCGCGGCGCTCCCAGGCAGGGAAAGTCCTCGACTTACGATCGGTTGGGTAGTCCTCGACTTATGACCGGTTTAGTCCTCGACTTACGACCGGTTTAGTTCTCGACTTACAACCGGTTGGGGTCATGGCATTAAAAAGGTTGAGAACCACTGGGTTAGATCAAGTTAGATCAAGTATTGAAATCTTAGGTGTGGAAATTATGGATTCAAATAATCATCCAACAATTGTTGCAGCTTTGGAAGATTTTTTTGTGTTGCCGAGTTCCTTGACCACAAACTATTCCCTTAATTTGATAGCATTAAATTGATAGAATTGATAGAAATAATCAACAGGGCCATTTAGGCATTTAAGTCCAACTCCTTTCTGAGTGCAAGAATCTGATTTAAAACATTTCCAGCAGAGGGCTGTTCAGCCTCTGCTCAAAGAATCCAGTTAAAAAGGAGTCACAAGTCTCTCTGGGGAATTTCAAGAGAGGGGAGAAAACTGCTGCCTTATTTGAAATGTCCAGGAAATGAAGTTACATAAACACTGGTATTTGAATCATATGATTTGAGCTTAGATCAGCATAAAGCGAGCGTATTATTATTACCTTTCTAGCTCAGGTGCTATTTTGGCCAGGGGCACGTCAGGCTAAGAGCCTTAGGGCAGTGGCCCCCAACCTTTTGGGCACCAGGGACCGGTTCCGTGGAGAGAGTTTTTTTCCAGGGACCGGAAAGCGCGTGGTTTCGCGTGCTGCCTGCATCCCACGGATGGGGCTTCGCTTGTTTGCGTGGCCCAGTTTCTGGCATGCTGCAGACTGGTGCCAGGCCATGGTGCTTTAGGGTTTCATGCCTGATGAGGGGTTGGACTAGATGACCTCCAAGGTCTCTTCCAACATCATTATTATTATTATTAAAGTTCCTCTATGAGAAAAAAATATCTAATTACAGTAATGCAGCAAAACAAGCATCATATTGAAACCTCAGGACCTATTATATTCTGTTTATAATATTCTATAATTTTCTATCTTTAGCACTAAGTTCTTGATTAATAAATATATTTATTATTTATTATATAATGTTTTATATTATTTATTATATAATATAATATAATATATTATATTATATTATATAATGTATATATACATTAAATATATATTTTTTTCCTCACTAGCTAATTTCCTGCCAGTCTCTGCATGGGCCAAACCTTCCTATTCTAGCCCAATGCTTTATTTTATTTATTAATGTTATTTAACTGGTTTATGTACCGGCCTGGTCAAAACATAACTCAGTGATAAGTAAAGGAAACATTCTTAATTTTGGAGTTCAGTTATGAAAGTCTGCATAACTCTTTGGAAACCCCACTGCTCCACAGTATTTGCTGGTAGCTGATAGTTAAGAATTTGGATAGCCATCATCATATAAAGAAAAAGTTTCTTTTTCAAACAATGTGCACTGTTATTGTTGAGTTGCTATACCAAACTGCTTATCTAGTAACATCGTGTCCTTTCCTTCATTTACAACAATTTTCCATGTAACACTTTTGGCAGTGAAGAGGGCTTCATCAAAGCAAAATCCAAGCCAGGCTATGACTAATGTTCCAGAACTTTTGTGTCCAATTTTTTTTCTATGAGATAGAATAGCTATCATTGGTCTTTCCTGGTGCTGCTGGTGCTGCAAAAGAAAACCGCATCCAAATAATAAAAGCAAACCTGTTGAAAAGAGAATTCGATGAAATGTCAGAGACACACCAAAAAAATATTGCTTTACATATTCAGGATTAAGAGACTGAAATATATTTTCAGGCTTTAGCTGAAATTCATCTCCAGCAGAGTAACAGGCATAGGCTGGAGTTATTGCCCTCCCCAGTGAATCATTACATGCCTAGCCTTGGTTATAAAACTACAGAAAAGGCTTTATGATAATGTGCATTTAGGTGTCACAGTAAAATAAAAACATTTAGATTAAATTTAATGTAGCATTGATGAATAAGGATATTTGCAAGCTGTACTTTTCAACATTTTCATGAATAACTTGGATCTTAATGTAGAAAGAATCTCTCAGTCTATATGAGTCAAGATTGTAGAGATCACCGTCATGTTGCCTTTCTTTACAGTCTTCTAGCTTTCCCCCCCCCCTTAGCTCTTCTTAAAGGACGCAGTGGTTAGAATGCAGTAGTGCAGGCTAATTCTGCTGACTGCCGATTGCCAGTAGTTCGGCAGTTCAAACCTCACCAGCTCAAGGTTGACTCAGCCTTCCATCCTTCTGACATCAATAAAATGAAGACCCAGATTATTGGGAGCAATATGCTGACTCTGTAAACTGCTTAGAGAGGGCTGTAAAGCACTATGAAGCGGTATATAAGTGTAAGTGTTATTGCTATTGTCTATTTTTTTTAAAAAAAAAATATTAAGACCAGAAGTGGACATCATATACAAAGTGGAATCTCCCTCTGACTTTAACTAGTATATAATGTATACTTGTTCAAGCAGAGGACAGCCACCTGTCAAGAATAGTAAATACTTTAATTTGGATTCCAAAATTGAGTCTTGGACTGAAATGACTAAATGATCTTGAGTTTGTCTCATTGGCCTCTTCAGGGGATGGGATTCTCTGACTGAAGTGGAGCCAGCATCAAAATGGATGAAATGCTCCCAAAATAGAATTCTAGCTTGCTTGGCCCTTACTGGGCTGTCCTCTTCCCATTTCCTAATTTTATTTCCACCAATTATCACATGCCTTCAATGTGCAATGATTATTGAATGCATTTTGAAGTCAATTGAATAATATTTCCCTATGAAATGTTATGTAAATACTTATCAACTTAAAATCAACCAGTCAACCCTTGGAAATCTTGCAACAAGACTATATTAGAAAAACACTTTTCTTTTCTTTTTTAAAATAGATCTTGGCAAGCAAAATAATACTAGAAGGCCGTTCTATATATGCGTTGTATTTCTTTTATTATTTTTATCCCCCCCCCAATTTTCAGTGCATAACTGGCCCAAAATAAATGTTAAATAGTCATCATAGTTTCTCTATTACATCCATACAAGGTTACAACAGAGTCAGAAGCACTTAGCTAGTTCTCAAAGATAGCCTGAAAAACAGCCTTCTGCAAAAAAAAAAAAAAAAAAGTTATGGCCTATTTATGTTGCATTCTGCTAGGGATTGTGGAATTAATGTTTAGGAGAATTTGTTCCCAAGCTCTTGGTTTTGCTGGGACTTGCCTAAGAAAGAAGACTCAACTATTTATGGAAGAAGGACACATAAACTGTACAAAATATATTTGTTCTCTCAATCTGTCCTTCCTATATATGCATTGAGCCCAATAAGCATAGCTTTCCAAGTGAAAGCTTAACTGCATTCCACACTGATATTTATTAGTATTAGAGAGGAAGGTAGAAATCCTTGATTCTGAGATAACTCAAGCAGCTTTATAATACCTTTCCTCACTGGAACAAATAGCCGTTTAATATTCTGAAGGAAAGGCAAGGAT